GGCAATCTTTAGTAGACTTAAATAAACTCATTTTCATTGGGAAGAAATAAGAGTGCAACTGAAATGGCACTCATAATAACTGGCAGCCCATCCCGGTAATGCTGAGTAAGCCAAGCTGATTTCATTAAGATCGCAAAAGAAGCAACCAAACTTGCTATTTGCTTTTGAGCAGAACAATTTTGCTTTCGGTTTTATGGACTGGATATGCCTATCAACACCAAATGTTTGATGAATTAGTCGCCAAATTGGCATCGGCCTTTGCATCACTGACGGCTCTTTTCGTGGCATTAGCAAAACCCACTTTGTTCATGACAGTTGTGATGAATTCAATGCCCACTAGCCATTTGGTTTCTTTAAATTCCCTGTGAATGTGATTCCTAACCGAGACAGAAATGTTTAATTCCGCGCACTACAGTTCGTTGCCACAAACACAGTAAAGAATATGGCAGTTACCCTTAATGAGTGCAGTATGCAAAATTGTTATAAATTCTGAGAATTAATCATACATTTGTGCAATTAAGATTACCATACAGAGAAAGTATACTTATTGCTGTCCTACCTTATTCCCCAATCTACGGTAGTAATCGTGAGAGCGCATGGGCCGAAGAAAATTCCAGCCCCTCCCACCTTCAATGCTTACCGCCTCGTGTACAGGTAGGATTCATATCTCCTTCCTGCTGTGCAATGAGACTATTAATCACCTGGTCTTGCCAAAAGCATAGCGCCCCATATCTCGTCGATTGGAGGGTGTTGAAGATAGGTGCAACACAGAAGAAGCTATACTGAGGCTGCCCTTTCCGTTAGTGAACATCATAATCCGCGGCTCTGCAGCGCAGCAATTGACCATGTAGGTGACATCAGAATTGATCGACTTGAAAACGACCACCGCGGATCTGCAACCGTATTCGTGTAAGCATACGTGATATTCACTAGAAAAATTGATGTCTGGCCTACATTTACAGAAATTTGTTAAGGCCTCATGGGCAAGGTAAAACAATTGATGTAAAATACATGGGGGACGTAGAGAGCAGATGGCAAACCATATGAGGTGAATTGCGATCCTCCATTTCACTGGATGGCCTTACTTTTTGGTAAATGTTCATAAGAAGTGTGAATGGCATCTGGCATGCATTCACTCATTCATTCGTTCCTTCATAGTTGTTGCACACAGATCGACCGGTAGGAATTGCTAAGTCAGTGCTGGTGTAAAATAAGACGTTAATTAATTGCCATCATTTCGGCGTTGTGGTTGACTCATTGATAAACCTTCAGTTTAACAGGAGTAAAACTG